TTAAATCTGTTAGCCGCTATTAGCAGACATTTACACTAGCACACAAACAGCAGATTGACAGGATTGATCCCTGGTTGCCTACAGCGGTTACTCTCGTTTTGTCTTCTCAGGGTGTCCTAGAGCCTGGTATGCAGTTGGGTGCTGACTGTCTGCTGCCTCGCCACTTTCGCAAACAGCACAACATGTAATACGCATGAAGGTACACTCCTCGAAGTGAATGCTAGAATTGTAGCTACCACGGTATTCACAGGTGCATTGAAATCCATGGAGTATCGAGATTTTCAGACAAAGGTACCTGTTTTTCAAAACCATCAGTTGTTGATCCGATATTTCAAGTGCTGGAAAGAAAACACATTGGTGTTAGTTGCTATACCTACCGTTGAGAACGCACAACGTGTAGTCGTTAGAAGTTTAGAAAATGATGAGTATGGCAACATCACTCTAGATATTCGCACGCAGATCAATGATACCCAGATCTTGGAGGAAATGCAAGATGCAAACTCGCTCGATATCAAACCAGACTGTAAATACAGGATTTGGGTTTCGTATCAATCAGTTCAGTAAACGCAGCATGCAGTCTTGCCTGCGCCAGTGTGCATCAATTCCGAGTATTGCAGGCCTCTTTAGAAATTCCTCCGGAGGGAAATACAACTGCAAAGCCAAAAATCGATATGGGGCTTTCAACAACCAAGTTAATGGAGGATCAGAAATCGGTTATGCAGCATTTACTTGGTGATACACCAACCCTTTTCCAACAAGCACCAGTGGGTGCAGGGAAAATACGTGTGATAGGTGACTGACTTACTGTCCAGCCTTGACAATATGGAAATGATGCTAGTAACCGCGGCAATCAATGTTGCAGTTGTTGATGCAGCGGATACCATATCGGCGTGCGTGACAGATTTTAAAAAAATAAAGACAATTTTGTTTTTTTTTGTCTACTAATGCTGAATTATGGTTTCTAAATGATGAAGATCAGTATGGCATTCGATGGACAGAGTCTAGGTTGCAAGAAACCTTACAGAGGTGATGGCGGATGACTTCCGCGTGTTACATATCACGTTGCCAAGGAGGCGATAAGTAATAACTGCGGGTGCCCCGGCCATGCTAAAAGTGTGTTCGCGCTTCCAGCCATTAATAACACATATGATAATTGAGGAGGCCGGGATGGTACCAAAAAACCAGCTTTTGCAAATTTGTGCGGTGTTTCCTTAACTTAAGTAGGTTTTTCTAGCGGGAAACGTGCGACAACTCCCACCGTATAGGACCTTAGTTCCGGGAACTCTCACACCGTTTGGAGCACGTGGCGCTATAGACTATCATAGACAGGGGGTGTGTTGTGAAAGTTGCTTTCGCGACTGTTTGTGAGGGTCAAAAGGTTAGTCCCTCTGCGCTTCCTTTGTCCACCTCCCGCCCAGACAGAGCGTGGTCACTTCGTCCTGGACGCGTGGGGGATAGGATGGAGATGGAGGAAGTGGATTGATGAGGAGGGAGTTGTTTTTCGAAGAAGTGGAAGAGGGTTATTTTGGAGTTTGGGGTTTCGGCTTTTTTGAAGAAAAAAAGGTTGGTTTAGAGTTCGGGTCTTTGGTTTTTTTTTTTGAAGAAAGAAGTGTCTTTTTTGGTTCTCCATCGAAGTAGTGATATTTGCTTAAAAAAATTGAAAGATATTTCTACTTGAAAGATAAATTATGGTTCTCTGTTGGCCGTTCTAATGCACATTTTCAAACAACAAGAATAAAAAAAAGCCGCGTGGC